CTTTAATTTCGTTTGATAACATTGCAAATTACTTTTGTCAACGTGACGTTTAATAAAAAATTATTTTAAACTAAGACAAACGTACATGGCCAACTTTGACAAATGTTTTTTTCGATCTCTCGGTACAATAAATATAATAAAAAGCAAAATGTTTTTTTATGGCAATCAAGACTCAGCGAGCAAGGATTAATATTCAGTTTCATTCACAAAAGAAAAAATCGCATAGTAAATTCAGTGTCGGATTGAGGACATGGGGGTCCACCGGGAAATTTAGAAAATGGAACCTTGTTGTATTGTATTGGATTATTGTATTGTTTGGGAATTATTATTATTACTATTATTATTTTCAGTTTTTGCTGGCGATATTGGTGTTTTAAAAAAACGATGTTGTTTTTGGAATTTTGATGATGCTACCAAGAAAAACAAAGCTATTGAAAAATTGTAGTAGGTTATTTTGACAGAACTTCCCTCGCCCTTGAAGTATAGTCCGATAAATTCCCCTTTTTTAAAAAATTATAAAATTAGAGTCTGCTATTTTCGTTTTATTAACCTCTATAAACTGGCGTAATTAACATCCTCGCAACGCCTGTGTCTTTAAATTTGAAATATATTTAAAACAGATAACTAACTGGAAAAAATGTTAACATTCTCAATTTCTCTAAACTTCGACTGTTTATGTTTATACCTCGACCGAATTCGACTACTAGCAAAACATCAGCGATGAAAAGAAAATGAAATTTGGTTGATTTTGTGTCCTCAACGCAGAGGAAAAAACTCATTGATTAATTTATACTCACTTTTTTCCCCAAAACACTCATAAATTTGAAGAAATTAACAATTTACCATGTTTCAAATAATCTTAAAATATTTGCATTTATATAATGTTGATTTTTTTTCCAAAAATCTGGATGCTAAGGGTAAAAACTCAACACGGATTCATAAATCCTACATGCAGGAATATGTTATCTTATAAAATTTAAAGAACATTTGTTCGTCAGAATTCTAAGATGACGTCATAATTTAGAAGGCCTTAAACGAACAAATTTTGATTAACAATTTATCATCTTTCCTATAACCTTAAAACGTTTGCAATATTTCAATATATTCCCTTTTACAATTTTAAAGTCAAATTGTAAAATACAATTCTGATTTTTTCCCCAAAAATCTTGATGAATAAGGCTATCTAGTCATCCAGATTTTTTTTGACCTTCTTTTCACCCCTCATCTCATAAATTCGCATCATTTAATTTCTTATTCCACATTCCACAAAGTCAGAAAAGCCTTTGAGAGTGAACTTGGTATCATTAAACAAATTGCCAATAATAATAAATTTCCCTTACACTTAGTTATGAAAATCCTCTATAAAACTTGTATCAACAGAAACTTTCCTATATATTCATACCAATTTCCAATCACAGGCTATCGTTTGCTCTATATCTCCTTCTTTGGTTTTCTTCTCTATCCATTTTCAAAATTTTCAAAAACTAGATTATAAAATAACATAAAAGACAGTATCAATCTGTTGAAAAATTAATACGAAAGTTTCTAGAAAAAATACGCTTTGCCATTGTGCTCACTTAAGCTTGAGTGGACAAAAATTCCAATTTTTAGATAAATTACTCGTATTCCTGATTACGGAAATCAAATTATGATGACCCCCAAATCACTGACTTGATACACCCAAATATTTAATAAAAATATTCTATATATAATTTTCTTAGAAGGTATGTCAAAATCAGTCTTATCTTAACAAGTTCTAGCCCCGCCCCCCCGCCCTCTAGTTTCTTAGAGGTTATATCATCTGCCAAAGTCAGTCTTATCTGTTCACCCTAGGGTGAAAACTCGGCACGGATTCATGAACCAGACATGCAGGAGTATACAATGCTATGCAATTAAATATATAATACCAAAAAAAGGGACAAATTTGTAGTAGTTAACCAAAATTATACGTTTCACCCCACATTTTGTTTTTTAATTTATTATTAGGTGCTTTATCATTTTTTTTAAACAGGCCAGTTTTGACGCTGAAGTGTTTTTTTATTTTGTAAAAATCTCAGTCAGCGGTTTCTATATGGATCCACTGGAATCATGGTCAAAATCTTTAGAAATCCACAACTTTTTAAAAAATAACCTTAAACATGGGATGAAATGTTAAAAAAATGCATTAAAAAAACTATACTACAAAAATTATCTTTTTTTAATTTATAAAAAAAAAACAATAAACAACTTTAATGTCAAAATTGAAATTGGCCTGCTCTAAAAACATGATAAAGTACCTTAAAATAGATGAAAAAACAGATAAAAAAGCTTAAATAGATGAAAAAAAAATGTTAGGTAAAACGTACCATTTTACTTTCCATTGATTCCAGTTTAATCCTTAAACCCGACTCATTCAGATGAGAATTGGATTTGAATTAATAAACAATGCTTTTGGAATCACCAAAAATTATATTTTTTATTATTAAACAATGTCATTATTGTTTTAGAGGGATATAAACGAAAAAAATTGATTAAGGATTTACCAGTCTTACGATAACCTTAAAACGTATGCAAAATTAAATTGCAAAATGTTGTGATTTTGACTTTTTTCTCCAAAAATCTGGATGTCTAAGATAAAAATTCAACAGAGGTGCATAAACGACATGTGCAGGAGTATCTCATTTTATAAAATTTAAATAATATTTACTACTTTAAATTTTGGAGATGACGACAACAAATTGTTGGTGGGGATGATTAGCCAAAATTTGATCATCTGCACAATATTATAAAATTTGACAATTGGTTCTAATAAAAATCCTAACAGACGACAACTATACAGACAGACGGAAGTAGGGACAATGGTAAATAAGAACGTGAATTCATTACAGAAGAAATGATTCACATTTATTTAGTCTGAATGGTTCGACAACTTTCAGTTCCCTCTACATTAACCAAATTTTTATTAAACACATTTACAACAGTTAATAAAGATGTTTTTAAGAATGTTTATCTAATACAACTCATATTGTTAGAACGACAATAAAACTTAAATATAATATCCAATAAACACCATATATGTGGCATGACAAAAATTTCTTGATAAATCGCCCACGATTAATGTGGCGACACTCAATAAACAATAAAACCTTTTTGTTAGCGTTTTTTGTAATATTGTTAATAAATACAAAATTGCGAAAGAAAAACAAATAAAAGTTTAAATTACGTATGCAACTTATTTCAATCAGGTCAACGAAAGAAAAGCTTTCGTTAGTTGCTTATTCACTTTTACTATCTTACTGTTATTACGACTGAAGTGTCAAAGGGTACAACTGTTGGCTTCGCCACTACTTGACCTTAAATACCAGTATGTTTGTAACATTTTGTTCTGTTACCAATAAGCTTAATTTACATGAAGTTTCTCACAAACTACTTTTGCCTCCCACTACTCACATTCAAGTACTTATAAGAAAAAAATGTACACTAACATAGGTGCAAAATTTAAATGTCATTTATGAAAGAGCTGAAAATCTACTTATGCAGAGTGAGTAAAATCAACCAAGAAAAACAAGAAAACACACTTCATAGAAAACGAACAAATGTAGGTAAACTGTATTCATTAGATAAGTGTTGCAATTTAGATTAATTTGTAACGTCATATTTATCTAGTGCTTATCTATGCAAGTTAAATGGGTTTTTTCACTTCGGCGTGAACGTGACAAATTGTCACTAATAAACATATTATGCACAAAAAGGAACACAGAAACCATTTAATTTACTTTTCACTACATTACTAGACACAACTATTAAGACTTACTATATGAGAACTGTACCAACATAATGAATTATAATAATTTTTCAGACGTACAAAAACTTTCACGGTTGTTAACATAGCGTTTCGTTCATGCCTTAATTTTTGACCGAAGTTTTTTAAGCCATTACCAGTCTTTAAGGTCATGTGAACAATCAGTTAAATATGACAAACGTCTGGTAAGTGAGTATTTTGTTACAAAAGACTCAAATAATGAAACATGCAATCTTACTTATCACGATAATGAATGGTGTAATTTTTTGAGCAGAAAATTTTTACCACTTAACCTTGAAACGGTTCACTTTTTACGCCGGACTTAAATGGCTATTTCTACTTTTACATTTTTTTACTAAGACCTGATTTACTAGTAGGTAATTATCGCAAATGTCTCTCATTACGAAAAAAAATTTTTTAAGTCTGTAAAAGTATTGTGTCGTCCTGAAACTTATACAGTTTTTTTGGGTAAAATGAACCCTCGTTGTAGCATGTGTTAAATTTTTATTTTCTAACTGTGTTGCGTTTTTCACTTATTCAGTGTGAAGTTTATCCTGTCGAGGTGTGTTTAAAAGGACATGCATTTGCTATAAAAACTGTTAAAAATTGCATCAGCAGGATACTTAGCGTAATATCTGTAGATAATTTTGTAAAATACTACCTGCGTACCTAATGTGGAACAAGCAATTCAGTCGCAGTGCGCGGTCATCGTCTCTTGTGTGAAAGAAAGCGAAAAAGCCTCTAAGATTCTTGAGCTATTGAAGACAGTTTTAGAAGAACAAGTCGAGTGCAACAGTACCATTTAGCTATAGACACATGGTTTTAAAATTAAAAGTAGTCTTTTAGAAATGTTGGACGACCTAAAACTCCAGTAGGTGAAAAATGTATTGCTGAGATTAACTTATCTTAGAATAAATAAAATGAAGCTTTAATTAAAAATGAAACACGTACTCTTTACAAAAACGTAAAGAGAATTTAGTCAAAAGACCCATTTTATTTTTCTTATTATTATTTATAAATCAAAATTAATTGTTGTCTGAAGTATGAGTGAAAACAATTGTGATGAAATATGTGGACCAAGTTGTTTTTTAGTTTGTTGCCAAAAAAATGCCAGTAATGCTGCAGCATACATAATTAGTAGTATTAGATATTCTACGCTGTCTATGCAGACTTCAAAGTGGGGAGAGCTTTCATTGAACGCTCTTTCAGTCATCCATGGTGTAGTTCACCCACCAGTCTTTGACCGACTGTTGTGGTGTGTGTACAAGAGATTTTTCAATTTTTTAGCGCTCTGACATGTGGATTTAGTAATTTATATCGTGTTGTGTCATCTACAATCATCGTTGATTATTTTGGTAAGTAATGTCGTTATTCATTTAATTGCAACGTAATTGTCTGTCAAATAATAAATAATACAAAAAGGACGTATTTACATAAAGGGCGTTGCATTATTAGCAATGTTAATATTTTTGCATTAACATTCATTGAGGTATTCATTTGACTTTAAAATGTTTAAAGATGTTATTAAAATTGGCATACAAAACATAAATAGCCTTGCATATTATGTCAAGCAACTCTACAAAAAATAATGATGTCAGATTAGATAAATCTAGTTTTGCAACAAGAAAAAACTTCGTTTTATTGCACTTTAATTAAAATAAGTAGTTCATCACAGACCGTATGGTTTGGAAAAAATCCTTTCACTAAATCCGGTGAAGAAAACTAGGTTTCTTTGCATTGTTTTAGAATAATTGCGTATTACGAAGCGCTATTTAAAAATCTCATAAATATTACGCAAGGTAATGTTACACCTTCCCATAACGCCCATACGAACGCACCACATCTTCGCGGATTTTTTGCCAACGCTAATAGCCTGGCTTAACGGAAACGGAAATTCATTATTACAAATCCGTTAAGGGTCTTCATATTGTCGGAATCTCATCGCCACCGAATTTACTGTGAGACCTGTTCTAACGCATCGTCGATGTCTCCTGAAAAAACCTGCGAATAATGAAACGACTGATTAATAACCTGTTTTGAATTAATTAATTATCCATTCGTGGTAATTCTGAAAGATGATCGTCCATAATGTTATCAACTTAATCGGACGCATGGCGAAAAATTCGCACCTGAGTTGCTTTAAAAAGCTACTTTTTAGCGCGCTTTTGCTTTGATATTAGACGACCGAATCGAGTGCATGCAAGGTGTTCGTCGAGGCCGTTAAGCTATCATAGCGTAACAAGTGTATCCAAATACACCTGTCAAGTTCATAATGTGGTGCAACTGTCACATCCGGTACAACAGAAGTTAAATGGCACTCATTGTCCCCCACTGGTACAATATTGAGAAACGTTCTGTGATTATACCATCGGTGTGTTTGTTACTTCATCCTACTTCCCATCATGCAAATTGCGGTGACTTATACCGGAGGAAGTCTGTTATTCATCTTCACGGATTGAAATTTTTGTCATTTCCGCCAGTTGACCGAAAAATCAATCACGACAAGGTTGTTTCCTTGAACTCGTTAAATAAGTAATTTTCAAAATATACCTCATTATCCTTAAATAGTTCTTCAGGTAGAAATATTTGTGCTCTTGTTTTTTATTTTTGTTATTTTATTGAGTCGCATAATTAAAGTGGCGTTATTTTCCTAATTACTGCAATATGAATATTAAAGAATAAATTATGCAAAAATAAGAACTTAATTGTTCTGACAAATACCTGTTAGAATGATTATAAATGTTGTTCCTGTATTTCCGTTCCTTTAACGTGACTTCTTGTTAATAGACATACCGAGCTTCAAAGTAATAGGTGAAGATTAATTGGTTATTGTTTATGTGAAGCTGCGATCGTTGCACCAGTTTTTGCTTTTAAATTATTATAGTAGAAATTAATTTTCTCATTTTGCGTAACGCGTTTAAGCGATACGAGAAACTGACAGCACTAACGGAGCTTTGTGGGTAGTTAATAGCACCAAAGTCAAGAAGCGGCAAATCAGTAGTACAGATTTGAATGAAGATATATGGCACATGCAGTGTAGTATTCCCAATTTTAAAACTACTACTAAAATGTTTTTTTTTTTTAATTTGGCAGGTGGAAAAAGTGTAAAAATTCGTTTCTTTGTCTGACTGGATACATTCTTACATAACACACAAGGAAACTTCTGTGAACTACATAAATTGAAAAATTTGGACGTGGTTCAGTTGGCCTGGGAACAACCGTTTATTACAAGAACAATCTAAACAAATTACCTGCACCTCAAAAAATATTAGAAAATGAACCAGTAACAGTTGATCGAACATTTGATAAAGTGAGTCGTTACCGCAACGAAACGTCCAAGTATTTCCATAGAAAGTGAATTTTATAAATCCGTCAGACAATTTTATAAGAGGAGTACCAGTCTGCAGCAGCAGATGTCAATGTAGTACCATTAGAAAAATAAACATGTGATTTTATATACAGTTAGGTTGGTCGTTTTTTCTTGCACGTGACTCATCGTAAAATACCAAATAAAATAATAATCTTACAAGATAGTATTTTAATAATGAAGAGCTAATCTTTTAGAAGCATTGCAAGTGTTGATATAAAACTCCTCAGACATTTACGACACAATAAAATAAACTAACGGATTATTATATTTGCCCAAAAAGTACCAATAAAACATTGAAACTTGAAGTTACGATACTATAAAACATGGTCGTAAAGTTGGAAGAAGAGACTATATGTATGTGTTTCAGACTCTCCTCGCGTACACAATTTATAAACGACTTCTACTTATCCTCGAAAGGCATCGAAATCACGTTGAAAGCCGTAAAAAGGTACTAATTAGCCATGTGGAATAAGCAAGAAAAAACCAAGGCTGGTGAAGTTAGCCTATTTGCACGCACTCACATTGGTGGTCTGAAGCTCTTTTCGTCTTTCTCATATTACTAGCTAGAAATTTCGACGGTTTCGCAATAGTACTTTCAACGCTTCGCTCGTGATCAACACTGACCTTTCGATGCCTTATACATGAAGATTAGGACGCTATTATTAATCGAACGAGGAACTCCTTGTGGGTCCGAAATTAGAGCGACTCTATTTAGGGAAAGGATAGTGTGCATGGCCTTATCGCACAAATTACAAAAATTATCGCAACAAGAATCTCGATTGTGCAATTTTCTGGTCCTGGGTCAAGTTCAGAATTTAATTAATTAATTAAACAAGACATAAATTGTTTTTTGTAATTTAATACTAACTTACATCTGTTTTTAAATGAATGATACTTTCAGAAAAAAATTGTAAGATATGTCTTGATATAATTAATTATAGTTGTTACAGTTTTCGTGCACTCCGTTGGAAAATACAGTTGTGAGGTGTGCTTGGTTGACCATGAATATTTTTTTCAGATCCAATTATTCATAATGGTATGATAATGATGATTATAAATGAAAATTAGCTGCTACTTAGTGCTGTCTGTAACATGAGTCACTCATTTATGAAAATATCTCAAGTAATTAAAAATATGAATATTTACGTCTGTACGGATTTCTGTAATTTGTTTGTATGTGCAACGTATGTTCTTTGGAAAAAATTTGGTCAAGAGCACCTGTGAAAAAACTTCAAACAAGTATGAAGTTATTTTAATCAGAGAATCATCGTCTGTAACGGTTACCTTGGGGGTAATTACTATTTACCACTAGAATTGGCAGCAGCCAAAAATTGTAATATCTTCTAATCTCCTAGAACACGAAAATGCAGTTTTTGTTTTCCATTCAATGTACATTCTCTGATTTGGAGATTTGAAAACTGCGCCGACTATAATTTTACAAACCAGGTCGAACTGCGCCACTTGATTTATAGTTCTGAAACCCAACTGCTCCGTTTATCGCTGATTTGAATATATATTTCAATAATAATGGTTAGCGGACGTGCAAAAACTAAGCGGGTAATAAATATATAATATTAAATTTAATTTCCAAAAAAGAAAAATCACTCCATGATTTCTCCATCAAGACCCACATTTCTCTGAATTATTTATGTATCCACGTCATTTTGTCATCAAAATATTGATTGCTTTTCCGCTCATTTCTTTTGTTCTTTCTAATCAATTTCCAGCAATTTACGGTGTGTAAAATGATGGAGCTTGGAGCAATCTAAAACGTCTTGTATAAAACTAAATTTTCGATGTAGGTCATTAATAAGAAGTTATGTAAGAAACCTCCAACGGTGTAGTTTTAATACCGGCTAATCTGAAAGCAGTGTAGGATTCGCGAAAAAATGTGAGCAATTTTTAGTTAGTGTGATAAGCCCAGTATAAAATTAATAACAACGTTGGGTTAACTTAACTGTTAATTTTGATCATTTCTGGCTTATGATATATTCGCCTGACATAAGAAAGCCCCCATAATTTAGCATTTCCAGCATACAAAATGCATGAACGGTAAATAAAACTATTTGTTGCAAGATGCCTTTAGAATGTCCGACGTTTATTAATTCAAAGCGTTGTCGGCTTAAGTGTGCGCACAATAAAAATTCAGCCAAACCAATATGACCTGAAATTCTCGTTGTGTGGAATTACAGCGTGTTGAAACAAATATTAAAGAACGTGATGGTATTTCGCCGCCTGGACAGCAGAAATCCGTGCTTTCCATAGCCCATAAATCTCCACTTAAATAAATTATTTACGAATTAATTAATGTCCGTGATAATTTTGCGTAGGATAAATACCACCCACCTATCGTTTTACGTTAAATTATTGTGGCAAAGTGAGGAAATGTGTGTATTTTATTCTTTCTCCTAAATTACCAAGCAATCTCAGTTCTACATTTATCTTGTGTGCCACGAAATTATTTAGTACAGTTAGCGTGAAATTTCTTGTACGAAAACGGCATTGTTCCTAATAGCCAGAGTGGGTGGACGCAACACTAAATACGAAAATTTTGATAAATGAACAATGTACGGTTTTTTGATATGTCACCGTTGTAAGTACTCTTGTTCGACATAAATTATTGAAAAAAATTTCCACGTCCGCTACAACAACCGAAATTTATTCAAGTCTGCGTGAAATAAATTAAAATGTCTCAAAAGAAATGGGCGTTTTCTACAAACTGCTCTCAAAGTTCTTATATTATGGGTTTTATGGTCTCGATCGTGATAACGAATCATAAATATAATTCGATGACGTAAATTTTGACCACGTGTTTTTAAGACTTCCTGTAAAAACGTCGGCGCAAATATTAATTGCTGAACTAGTTACACTGCATTTAATCAAAACGTTTTAACAACACTTAGAATACATTTGCATGCATTGTAATTAAAATAAATTAGTTAGAACGGAGAATTTCTTTCCAAGTTATAATTACTATTTAAGAAA